ATAAAATAAAAAATAAATAAATACTCTTAGGTCCCCTCCCTGCTGTGTGTGTGTGTGTGTGTGTGTGTGTGTGTGTGTGTGTGTGTGTGTGATTGTCAGTCAGAATCTCACTCTGTTTCCCAGGCTGGAGTACAGTGAGTGGCATGATCTCAGCTCACTGCAACCTCTGCCTCCTTGGTTCAAGCAATTTTCCTGCCTCAGCCTCCCGAGTAGCTGGGATTACAGGTGCCTGCCTCCATGCTCAGCTAATTTTTTTGTATTTTTAGTAGAGACAGGGTTTCACCATGTTGGCCAGGCTGGTCTTGAACTCCTGACTTCTTGATTCACCTGCCTTGGCCTCCCGAAGTGCTGGGATTACAGGCGTGAGCCACTATGCCTGGCCCCATTTTTTTGTTTTTGTTTTTTAAAGAGATGGTGTCTTTGTCACTCAGTCTGGAGTGCAGTGGCATGATCATAGTTCACCGCAGCCTCAGACTCCAGAGCTCATGTCATCCTCCTGCCTCAGCCTCCTGAGTAGCTGGGCCTGTCTGTAGGCATGTGCTACCATGCTCAGCTTATTGGAACATTTTTTTGGCCAGGTACCGTGGCTCATACCTGTAATCCTAGCAGTTTGGGAGGCCAAAGTGGGTGGGTCACTTGAAGTCAGGAGTTTGGGACCAGCTTGGCCAACATGGTGAAACTCCATCTCTACTAAAAATACAAAAAAGGCCAGGCGCAGTGGCTCATGCCTGTAATTGCAGCACTTTGGGAGGCTGAGGCAGGCAGATCATGAGGTCAGGAGTTCGGGACCAGCCTGGCCAACATGGCAAAACCTGATCTCTACTAAAAATACAGAAAAATTAGCCAGTCGTGGTGGCACGCACGTGCCTGTAATCCCAGCTACTCAGGAGGCTGAGGCAGGAGAATCACTTGAACCCAGGAGGTGGAGGTTGTAGTAAGCCGAGATTGTGCCACTGCACTCCAGCTGGGGCTACCGAGTGAGACTCCATCTTGGTGGGAAGCCGGGGAAAGTAGCCAGGTGTGGTGGTGCATGCCTGTAGTTCCAGCTGCTTAGGAGGCTAAGGCACGAGAATTGCTTGAACTCGGGAGGTGGAGGTTGCAGTGAGCTGAAATTGTGCCACTGCATTCTATCCTGGACAACAAAGCGAGACTCTGTCTCAAAAAAACATTTTTTTTCTTTTCTTTCTTTCTTTCTTTTTTTTTTTTTTTGTGGTAGATCTTGCTCTGTTACTCAGGCTGGTCTGGAACTCTTGGCCTCAAGTGATCCTCCTGCCTCAGCTTCCCAGAGTAGCTGGGATTATAGACGTGCCACTGCACCTGGCTATCTTGGCCCTTTTAATCTGGAAACTCATGTCATTCAGGTCTAGGAAAATTTCTTGAGTTCTTGAATTTTTTTTTTTTTTCCCCAGTGCTTTTTTTCTGTTCCCTGAAAGGTCCAGTTAATGGCCTGTTGGACCTCATGGCTTGTCCTCTAGTTTTCCTATTTTTTTCCTCCCATGTACCATCTTAGTCATTTTGATGTACTTTATAGGAGAGCTCCTTATCTTTAACCTTCTGATGTGTCTGTTGACTTTTTCTTTTTTTTATAGTGTTTTTAATTTTCAAGAGTTCTTTTTTGTATGCTGTTCTTGTATATCTGTTTCTTGACAAATTAGCTTATTTTTAGTTTTTGTCTCTAATTTTTTCTTCAAAGCTACTTTTTTCCTGTTTTTTCTTCGTATGAAGGTTTTTCTTGTGTTTGTGGTGATTCTTGTTTAACTGCTCATGGTTAAAAGTGATTGGAAATTGTGTGTATTTGGATGGTAGAGTGGCGGGTAGACTCCTGACTATAGGGTGTGTGTTTGTGTTTGTGTCTTAGTGATTATAGGTAGACGTTATCAATATTTTTAGGTATTTTCTCTAGGGCTTGCCAAATTCGGTAGTACTCATCTTCAGAACATAATATTTCCGTTTCCTTAGTAGAAGGTGTATGCTTGGAGCCTCTAGGAGCTATCCTCTAGGAGCCTTGGTGAGTAGTCAAAGAGGGTTTTGAATGTACAGAGTGAGTTTCAGCAATCGGTGTGTATATTCCTATTTATTTCTTCTGTTATCGATATGATACTTCCATCTTCAACTGTGCATCCTCAACTGTGTTGAGCCTGCAGACCTTCTGTTTCACTCCTAGAGATTTATACCTCTAGTCTTCTGAGTGCTAGTAGTGGGAATGGCAATCTGGGAGTCTCTCTGCTTTTTTCTTTTTTTGTGTGTGGAATGGAGTCTAGCTCTGTCGCCCAGGCTAGAGTGCAGTGGTTCGATCGCGGCTCACTGCAAGCTCCGCCTCCCAGATTCAAGCAATTCTCCTGCCTCAGCCTCCCCAGTAGCTGGTACTACAGGTGCATGCCACCACGCCAAGCTAAGTTTTTGTATTTTTAGTAGAGACGGAGTTTCACCGTGTTAGCCAGGATGGTCTTGACCTCCTGACCTTGTGATCTACCTGCCTCAGCCTCCCAAAGTGCTGGGATTACAGGTGTGAGCCACCACTCCTAGCCTGTTTTTTTTTTTTTTTAAAGACGGAGTCTCTTGTTGTCCAGGGTGGAGTGCAATGGCACAATCTGAGTTCACTGCAGCCTCTGCCTCCCAGGTTCAAGTGATTCTCCTGCCTCAGCCTCCTGAGCAGCTGGTATCACTGGCATGCAGCACTACGCCCAGCTAATTTTTTTGTATTTTTAGTAGAGATAGGGTTTCACCGTGTTGGCCAGGCTAGTCTTGAGCTCCTGGCCACAAGTGATTCGCCTGCCTCGACCTCCCAAATTGCTGGGATTACAGGCGTGAGCCACTGTGCCCAGCCCTATCTGCTTTTTTGAGTCCCATTTTCTTGTTTTTTTTTTGAGACAAGAGTCTTGCTCTGTCGCCCAGGCTGGAGTGCAGTGGCACGATCTCAGCTCACTGCAACCTCTGCCTCCGGGTTCAGGTGATTCTCCTGCTTCAGCCTCCCAAGTAGCTGGGATTACAGGCACCCACCACCACGCCTGGCTAATTTTTGTATTTTTAGTAGAGTTTCACCGTCTTGGCCAGGCTGGTCTTGAACTCCTGACCTCGTGATCCACATGCCTTGGCCTCCCAAAATGCTAGGATTACAGGTGTTAGCCACCGTGCCTGGCCTTTTGAGTCCCATTTTTATCCCCATCTCTATGGAGTCTGATACTGCCAATTCCTGAGTCTTGGGGTATAAATAGATCTTCTCAGCTTTCCACATTTCTACCTGAAGATTCAGATTTTCTTGAGTCTACTAAGTCAGTTATTTGTCCTTCTCTGTAGCATCTGTACTTCTAAATTTTTATCATGTACTCACTTGTTCTGTATCCTTTGGGTTTATGGCTTTGTCTTGGCTTTTTATTTACTTATTTTTAGAGATGGGGTCTCACTCTTTTGTCCAGGTTGGAGTGCACTGGCATGATTATAGCTTACTGCAACCTTCAACTCCTGGGCTCAAACAATCCTCCTGTCTCAGTCTCCCAAGTAACCTGGACTGTGGGTGCATGCACAATGCCTGGCCAATTTTTAGTTTTTGTAGAGACAGAATCTTGCTGTGTTTTCCAGGCTGGTCACAAACTCTAGGCTTTAAGCGATCCTTCTTCCTCAGCCTCTGGAGTTGCTAGGATTACAGGTGTGAGCCACCACAACTGGGTCTTGTTTTAGTTCCTCTATTGCTTTTTTTTCCAGTAGGGTTTGAATGGGAATAGAGGTAAATGTGTGTGCTTAAATCTTCCTCCTTTGACTGTATTTCAGTCTTTTTCTATGTATATAGTTATCTATGTGCATTGGTTTTTCCCCCACGTAGGATTTTACTTTATTGGTTTACCCCATTTTATGCTTATTATGAATTGTTTTTCGTTGCTTATTATGAATTGTTTTTCGTCTTTTAAAACTTTTTTTTTCACAATATAAATGAATGCTTACTAGTCCATTGGCTGCATATAGTTGACTGCAAATTAGAAATACTAAAATTAAATGCTCTGTGTAATGTGAGCTCTGAGGAAATAATGACTAATGGTAGGACAGGATGAAATTATGGAGTGTTATATTTGATGAGAGCTGAATGGATGATTACATCTTTCCTTTGTCCTTTTAAACATTAAAAAAGCCCTTTTTCTTTCAGGTGCTGTGTGATGTGTTAAGAGCATATTATAAGGAATGGTTTTGTCTAATTTTCATGAGTTATGGTGGCTGAGACATCGAGTCTATGTTGTGGGGCAAAAACTGTAAGTAAACCTCAAGGAATACACTGATTTTCAACTATTCTATGCTTGTATAAGACAAGTTATTGATTATTCATAGGAATATACTTGGGATACTTCGTTCTGTTAGCCTTAAGGGTACAGACTAGATATTTCAAAAGGAGGAGTTAGATTTTATTTAAATCAAGGTTATTTCTGTGTAGTATTAGCATTGCCATATTTCATGGATTGTACAAAACTTTATTTTTGTTTTTTAATTTTTCAGAAATGGCAGCACAAAAGGAAATCTATATTAATAGAATATTTTATTGAACAAAGGAGGTTAGATAAGAACTGCAAACCAACAGACTCAGCAAACAAGGAAAGAAACGTGTTAGCCATAAGACATGTTTCAAGTGAATCGAAGTCCAATAACTGTAGACTTCAGAAGAAAAAAGTTTTCAAAAATTTTATCAAAACAGGTCACTGATAAATAACTCCCCAGTAATAGGGCTAGGCCTGAAACCAAAATTAATTTAAAAATTAACAAAACAGTTCGAACCTGAATTAAATTTCTTTTCATAAAAAAACTTGTTAAAAATAATCAAATTAAATTTTCCTCAAATTTTTATTACCTTGTCCAAAGTAAAGCAAGTATCTTTTAGCATTCATGCCAGCTTTTCTCATGTTCTAGGAATGACAGAAACCTTACTTGAAGCAAACTAGTATTTTTGTTGAAAATGTGTATCAGCATCAGTTAAAGTTGATTTTTCATACCTGCTCCTCAGTAATAATACTAGCTAATCAGCATTCACGCCTACCAGGACACAAAAATCCTCTTCAAAATTACACAGAAAAGAAAGTCATTACTCAGGAATGATGTCCATTCAGGAGAAATCAAAAGAGAATTCCTCCAAAGTTACTAAAAAAAGTGAAGATAAGAATTCAGAAACAGAAATTCAGGATTCTCAAAAGAATCTAGCAAAAAAATCAGGTCCAAAGGAGACTACAAAATCACAGGCTAAATCTTCCAATGAAAGTAAAATAAATCAGCCAGAATTGGAAACACGCATGAGTACGAGGTCATCAAAGGCAGCGTTTACTGATAAAGCTACCAAATCCATTAATAAAAATACAGTGACTGTGAGGGGACATTCGCAAGAATCTACAAAAAAGAAATTATCTCAGAAAAAATTCGTGCATGAAAACCCTAAAGCAAAGGAACAGCTTAACCGGAGATCACAAAGGCTACAACAATTAACAGAGGTTTCAAGAAGGTCTTTACGCAGTAGAGAAATTCAGGGTCAAGTTCAAGCAGTTAAACAGAGTTTGCCACCAACTAAAAAAGAGCAGTGTAGCAGTACTCAGAGTAAATCTAGTAAAACAAGTCAGAAACATGTGAAGAGAAAAGTACTGGAAGTAAAGTCTGACTCTAAAGAAGATGAACATCTAGTAATTAATGAAGTAATAGATTCCCCCAAAGGGAAAAAACGCAAGGTAGAACATCAGACAGCTTGTGCTTGTAGTTCTCGGTGTGTACAAGGATCTGAAAAGTGTCCTCAGAAGACTACTAGAAAAGAGGAAGCGAAACCTGTGCCTGTAACTTCTGAGGTGAAAAGATCAAAAATGGCTGCTTCAGTGGTCTCGAAAAAGAATGAGATAAAGAAGTCGGTTCATACACAAGTGAATACTAACACAACACTCCCAAAAAGTCCACAGCCATCAGTGCCTGAACAAAGTGATAATGACCTGGAGCAAGCAGGAAAGAGCAAACGAGGTAGTATTCTCCAGCTCTGTGAAGAAATTGCTGGTGAAATTGAGTCAGATAATGTAGAGGTGAAAAAGGAATCTTCACAAATGGAAAGTGTAAAGGAAGAAAAGCCCACGGAAATAAAATTGGAAGAGACCAATGTTGAAAGACAAATACTTCATCAGAAGGAAACAAATCAGAATGTGCAATGTAATCGTTTTTTCCCAAGTAGAAAAACAAAGCCTGTGAAATGTATACTAAATGGAATAAATAGTTCAGCCAAGAAGAACTCCAACTGGACTAAAATTAAACTCTCAAAATTTAACTCTGTGCAGCACAATAAGTTGGACTCTCAAGTTTCCCCTAAATTAGGCTTATTACGAACCAGTTTTTCACCACCAGCTTTAGAAATGCATCATCCAGTGACTCAAAGTACATTTTTAGGGACAAAGCCACATGATGGAAATATAACTTGCCAGCAGGAAGAAATGCAAGAAACTAATTCTCAAGAAGTGAAAATTAATGATATTACAGTAGAAATTAATAAAACCACAGAAAGGGCTCCTGAAAATTGTCATTTGGCTAATGAGATAAAACCTTCTGACCCACCATTGGATAATCAGATGAAACATTCTTTTGATTCAGCATCAAATAAGGTAATCTGTTTTTATTATGCACAATAGAGGTGCCTAAATATTTTCTGTAAGAAATGTCTATAATATTTTAGCATAAGAATCAAGTCATAAAAGTTTGAAGAGTCATTTGTTAAGGTCTCCTGTTAAGTTGTTAGCGAGAGTTTTATTAACCCAGTCTTGTTGTGATAGAACTTTAGATGTCTCACATTTACTTGGGGTGCTTCTCATTGTTTCCTCATTTTTACTCTTCATTTTTATTTTATGTAAGCATAAGCCTGGTGAATTCCAGCTTTTCTTTTAAATTTAACACACTGATTTTCCTATTAATTATAACCATAGAAAGTACATTTCTTAGGGACTACTTTTTTTTTTTTTTTTTTTGAGATGGAGTTTCGCTCTTGTTCCCCAAGCTGGCGTGCAATGGCGCGATCTCGGCTCACTGCATCCTCCGCCTCCCTCATTCAAGCCATTCTCCAGCCTCACCCTCCCTAGTAGCTGGGATTACAGGCATGCACCACCATACCTGACTGATTTTGTATTTTTAGTAGAGAAGGGGTTTCTCCATGTTGATCAGGCTGGTCTCGAACTCCTGACCTCAGGTGATCCATCCGCCTCGGCCTCCCAAAGTGCTGGGATTACAGGCGTGAGCCACTGCACCTGGCCTTTAGGGACTACTTTTGACCTAAATATTAAAATTAATTTCAACTAGGACTAAACAGCCTTTTTTCCTACTGGATATAACTTAAAAGTTAAACATCTTTAAGAAGATGACTTGTGTGGCTGTTTTGAATAGTTGGCAAGTAGAATGTCTGAGAGGTATAAATAATTCAGTCTTCAGCCTAAGAATAAAATTGTAGTGGCCAAGACTCTGAAATGGAAAAGTGAATTGTAAACCAGAATCTTGTATCTGGAATAAATTTTGATTATCTAAGAAAGTAGTTTTAAACTTTATGAAAGCAGCTGAGCCCCTTTCTTCCTAAAATAAATTATATGTAGGCTACTAATACATAAAACCAATAAGCAGAAATTTTATATGCATAGAACCCTGGAACTCTAACATAGATCTAACTCATTTATTTGTACTATTTAATTTTATAATGAGAAAACTTGAGAATGGAATATGATTTAGGCAACTTGTTTGGTGGCACAAATAGAATTAGGATCCAGGTGTTCTAATTCTTAGCCCAGCATTCTTTCTAAAACAACATACTCTGAACATTAGAAATCATTTGAGCAAAAAAAGTCATCATGAATAGAGAAAAAAAATCACTTCAAAGTTTTGCAAGTGATTTAAAGTTCTCTTTTGAGACATTTTGTCTAGGAGCAAATGTGAGTTAGGAGTCTGGGCTTTATTCCAGAAGCCATGAAAATAGATCAGTGTCTATTATTTTTCTTAAAGGGAGAAGACACCATATTGTACTCTCAGATTTTATTTTCTGTATAGATAGGAATGCAAGCATCAATTAAAAGATGATTGTTCAGAGAGATTTTACCAGTCAGTGATAGTAATTAGAAATAAGTAGTGAGTTGTAGTGTGAGTAATAAGTGTGGCTTCTTGCAGAGATGTAGTGGCTTTTTATGGATTGTGTCTCCAGATACAGTTGTAGAGTGTGTCTTCTAACTACTTGCTGCATAAATGCTTGTTAGAACTTAGAAGGCAGACAGTTTATGGAGAGTATATTGATGGATATGAAATCTAATTCATTCCTTTGTAGTAAACTGTGCTAGAATAAAGATGCTTACGTAGACCACATTATTTTGACCTTTGATAACATTGCCTTTACTGAAAGATACTTTGAATTTATGCAGCCCCTCTGTTTGGAGGAACATTATAAGAAACCATCCTGCTGGGCGTGGTGGCTCATGCCTGTAATCCCAGCACTTTTGGGAGGCTGAGGCTGTTAGATCACCTGAGGTCAGGAGTTCAAGACCAGCCTGGACAACATGGTGAAACCCCATCTCTACTAAAAATACAAAAAATTAGCTGGGTGTGGTGGTGCGCACGTGTAATCCCAGCTACTCAGGAGGCTGAGGCAGAAGAATCATTTGAACCTGGGAGGCAGAGGCTGCAGTAAGCTGAGATCACGCCGCTATACTCCAGCCTGGGTGACAGAGTGAGACTCTGTCTCCAGAAAAAAAAAAAAAAAAAAAAATCCGAAGAAACTTGTTGCTATGTTAAAAATCTTATGGTTTGAAATTCTAGAATATTGCAAACATTTAGAATATAGCAGAGATTAACATTACTCTCATATGTCTACCACCCAGATTTGACAAATGTTAACATTTAAAAAACATTACTAAAAATCCTTTAAAGTTACAAAAGGTACATTACAGGTGTGGTTGAAGACTGCAACTCTTTTTTTTGAGACAGTCTCACTCTGTCGCCCAGGCTAGAGTGCAGTGGTGCATCTCGGCTCACTGCAAGCTCCACCTCCTGGGTTCACGCCATTCTGCTGCCTCATCTTCCCAAGTAGCTGAGACTACAGGTGCCCGCCACCATGCTGGGCTAATTTTTTGTATTTTTAGTAGAGACGGGGTTTCACTGTATTAGCCAGGATAGTCTCTATCTCCAGACCTTGTGATCCACCCAACTCGGCCTCCCAATCCACTGCGCCCAGCCAAAGACTGCAACTCTTTATTCCATTTACCTGACTCCCCATAGTTAAATGTGCTCCTAAAGTGGATGTAGATCTTTTCAGTTTTTATTTCTGTGATTTTATGTGTGTATAAATTCATAAAGAATACTTAGCTTTGTTTGTGTTTCAGTGTTTTACAAAAATACTAACACATACATATTTTTGTAACTTGACTTTGTGTAATCAACATTATATTAGATGCTTATTGATACATGAGTATTTTAAAAACTGTATAGGAATATACCACAAGTTTATCTTTTCCTCTATGAAAAGACTTTCAGCTTGGGTCAGGCACGGTAGCTCATGCCTGTAATCCCAGCATTTTGGGAGGTTGAGGTGGAAGGATCTCTTGAGCCGAGGAGTTTTAGACCAGTTTGAGCAACATGGTGAGACTCCATCTCTACAAAATAATTTAAAAATTATCTAGGAGTGGTAGTGTGTGCCTGTGGGCCCAGCTACTTGGGAGGCTGAGGCAGGAGGACTTCTTGAGCCCAGGAGGTTGAGGCTGCAGTGAGCTGTGATCATTTCACTGCATTCCAGTCTGGGTGACAGAGTGAGACTCTCTCTCAAAAGAAAAAGAAGACTTTCACCATTCAGATTGTTTCCAATTATTTTTCACTAATCTCAACATTTTGACCACTGTCACAGAGTGATCAGGAAATGTGACCATATTGGTTCAGGACATATATGAGTGCCTGCTATGTTCAAGGTGCTGTGCTAGGGCTATAGAACATGGGTAGGTTTCCTGCCCTTAAGGAGTTTCCATTTCCGTTTCCCTGAGATAGCCACTGTTGATGGAGTTTGGAGTATTTTTTTCTTTTTTGAGATAGAGTCTTGCTCTCTAGCCAGGCTGGAGTGCAGTGGTGTGATCTTGGCTCACTCTATCCTCTGCCTCCCGGGTTCAAGTGATTCTCTTGCCTCAGCCTCATGAGTAACTGGGACCGCCACCACACCCAGCTAATTTTTTTTTTTTTTTTTTGAGATGAAGTCTCACTCTTGTCTCCCAGGCTGGAGTGCAGTGGCGTGATCTCAGCTCACGGCAACCTCTGCTTCTCAGGTTGAAGTGATTCTCCTGCCTCAGCCTCCCGAGTAGCTGGGATTACAGGCGCCTGCCACCATGCTTATTTTTGTATTTTTAGTAGAGATCGGGTTTCACCGTGTTGGCAAGGCTGGCCTCGAACTCCTGGCCTCAGGTGATCCGCCTGCCTGGGCCTCCCAAAGTGCTGGGATTACAGGCGTGAGCCACCATACCCAGCCCCATGCTCAGCTAATTTTTTGGTATTTTTAGTAGAGACAGAGTCTCACCATGTTGGCCAGGATTGTCTCGATCCCTTGACCTCATAATCCACCCGCCTCGGCCTCCCAAAAGTGCTGGGATTACAGGCGTGAGCCACCATGCCCGGCCTGAAGCATTTTCTTTTGTTATTTACTAATTGAGTATCTGCTTTGGCAAGGTTCTGAATTAGAGGCTATTGGGAATAAAAAGGTAAATATAATATGGTTGTTGCTTTTAAGATTTATAGGTAAGTCAGACACAAATCACTGATTGAAAATAAAAAGTGATAAGCACATGAAAGAGATTTAGACAAAGTAGATGAAGAACAGGTAGAGAAGACTGGGAAAGGCTTTATGTAAGAGGAGCAATGAGTTGAATTTTTTTTTTTTTTTTTTGAGACGGAGTCTCGCTCTGTCACCCAGGCTGGAGTACAGTGGCCGGATCTCAGCTCACTGCAAGCTCTGTCTCCCAGGTTTATGCCATTCTCCTGCCTCAGCCTCCCGAGTAGCTGGGACTACAGGCGCCCGCCACCACGCCCGCTAGTTTTTTGTATTTTTAGTAGAGACGGGGTTTCACCGTGTTAGCCAGGATGGTCTCGATCTCCTGACCTCGTGATCCGCCCATCTTGGCCTCCCAAAGTGCTGGGATTACAGGCTTGAGCCACCGCGCCCGGCCGCAATGAGTTGAATTTATACAGGGGGAAAGGTATTCTGGATCAACACTATCCAGTAGGAATATAAGTGAGCCACATACCAGATAATTTAAAATTATCTGGTAACCACATTAATGGAGTAAAGAGAAATAGATCAAATTGATTTTAGTATCTTTTATTTAACCTGTCTGTTTTTTTTTTTTTTGGAGATGGAGTCTAACTTTGTCGCCCAGGCTGGAGTGCAGTGGCACTATCCTGGCTCACTGCAACCTCTGCCTCCCGGGTTCAAGTGGTTCTCCTGCCTCAGCCTCCCGAGCAGCTGGGATTACACGTGCCTGCCATCATGCCCAGCTAATTTTTGTATTTTTAGTAGAGACGAGGTTTCACTGTTGGTCACTGTTGGTCAGGCTGGTCTCGAACTCATGACCTCAAGTGATCCACCCACCCCGACCTCCCAAAGTGCTGGGATTACAGGCATGAGCCACTGTGCCCGGCCGGGTGCTTAAGTTTTCAAAATCTGGTGTGATTTATGCTGTCAGCACATCTCAAGTGATACCACATTTTAAGTGCTCACTAGTTAGACGTGGGAGTGATGACCATATTGGACATTATAGTCTAGACAGACAAAATTTGGAAAAAAGGTATAGAGCCAGGAAACTATTGAATATATATGTGGGAGAGGTATTTCCTTTTTTTGAGATAGGGTCTCACTATGTTGTCCAGGCTGGCTTCAAACCCCTGGGCCTAAGTGATCCTCCCCTGTTAGTGAGTCTTCTTAGTAGCTGGGACAACAGGCATGCACTGCTGTACCTTGTTTTTAAATTTAGCATGAAGGGTAATAATGGGCTCTGATGCTGAGAGGGTAGCTTGTAGCAAGATCATGGGGAGACTTCATGTCTGTATGAATTACTCCAAATAAAAAGTATCTTAAATTTTTTTAGTATGCTAAAATTTACTGAAAGTGTATTTAGATAAAACGCAAAGTTGATGTAAAAGTTTTGAATTATGTGTGTTCAGAATTTCAGCCAATGTTTGGAATCCAAGCTAGAAAACAGTCCAGTGGAAAATGTTACTGCTGTTTCAACTCTGCTCAGTCAAGCAAAAATTGATACAGGAGAGAATAAATTTCCAGGTAATACTTTGGAAATATTATTTGGATTTCATAGTCTTCAGTGATGTTTTTGTCAGTGTTACAGAAAATGTTATATACCAAATAGGGTTGTGACATTCTTTTTAACCATTGCTGTATTTTTCATATATGTGATTATCATGACTATCACCCATTGTTTCAGAATTACTTCTGTTGATTGGTTTGTTTAAAGTACCTAAGTACTACCCTTTGACTCCCTACCAAAGTTCTTTTTTTAAAGTTAACTTTTATTTGTGACTGACTTTCTTGAGAAGTGTTCCTTAATGAATTGCATAAAATAGTGGTAGCAGCTTATTTCTTAAGTATTTTATTATTTGTGCTCTACCATTTCAGGTTCTTATCTTTAACCCTTATCTACTCAGTTTTCCATCTGAATGATCCTGTGTCTAAACTAAGGATTTAATAAATGCTACAAATTGTCCACTTGTATAAAAGCCTTAGTTTTGGAACCTTGTGAACTCTTTTTTATAATACATTATTTGGGGGTGGGCATGGTGGCTCACACCTGTAATCTCAGCACTTTGGGAGGCCAAGGTGGGCAGATCACTTAAGACCTGGAGTTCAAGACCAGCCTGGCCAATGTGGTGAGACTCCCGTCTCTGTTTACTAAAAATACAAAAAATATTAGCCAGGCGTGGTGGTGTATGCCTGGAATCTCAGCTATTTGAGAGGCTGAGTCAGGAGAATTGCTTGAACTTGGGAGGCAAAGGTGAGCCAAGATTGCACCACTGCATTCCACCCTGGGTGATGGAGCGAGACTGTCTCAAAAACAAAAAACTAAAAAAAAAAAAATAATTTGAACTGTTGGGTGAGGATTTGCTCACTTATATTGGATGAGACAGCAGAGGGTATAGAAAATAAATCTCTTAATTCCTATTGTTTCTCTGTTAAAGGAAAGGTATATATGAAGCAAAATGTTGAGTTTGGATAATTACTGACATGATTTAACTTTTTCTCTGAGTTGGGGAAGAGAGAATGTAATATAAATATGAGAAATGCATTTATTCATTAGAAAATAAAATGGATTGCTTATTGCCTTTATTTATTATTTTGACTAAAATTCCAGAGACCATCTTTTTTTTTTTTTTTTTTTTCCTGGGGGGAAGTCTCACTCTGTCTCCCAGGCTGGAGTGCAGTGGCGTGATCTTGGCTCACTGCAACCTCTGCCTCCCAGGTTCGAGCAGTTTTCCTGCCTCAGCCTCCCACGCAGCTGGGATTACAGGCACACATCACCACGCCCAGCTTATTTTGTATCTTCAGTAGAGACAGGGTTTCCCCATGTTGGGCAGACTGGTCTCGAACTCCTGACCTCAGGTGATCTGCCTGCCTTGTCCTCCCAAAGTGCTGGGATTACAGATGTGAGCCACTGTGCCTGGCGTCTTTTTTTTTTTCAGCAAGAAAATGTTTTCATTTATTTCTACTTAGGGATTGTATAATTATGCAGGCATTGAAACAATTTCGTTATTATTCGGTCCTAATAATTGTTAGTTAAATTAGAGACAAACTAATCTACCATTACATCTCTTTGCAGCTTTGTGGTCTGAGTATGGGACAGCCTTTCTGCCTTTTGTCTGAAGAATAGTATCTAGGAAGGAGGTTCTAATTTTATCAGATGGTCTTTATTAAAAATAAGTCATTTAATGCATTGAAGGTTTTTTTTTTCTTCATAATGATTTTATCCATTAGATGGAAAACTAATATAAAACTCAATACATAACCCACCTTCTTGATTAAATTACAGGTTCAGCTCCCCAACAGCAGAGTATTCTCAGTAACCAGACATCTAAAAGCAGTGATAACAGGTAAGGTATTAATTAAATTTTAGAGCTTAAGGATTTTAACTTACAAGTTTTGAGTTTAGGGGATTCTTCCCTAAAAAGTTATGCTAGTAACTCTCAGTTTACCTACAGATTCTCTTTTTGTTACAACTTTTTCTATGCCTATACACACTGTTTACTATGGACATTTTTTCTACCTTACTACCTAATTTTTTTTTTTTTGTAGTTGGAGTGCAGTGGCACAGTCACTGCAGCCTTGAACTCCTGGGCTCAAGTGATCCTTCTGCCGCAGCGTCCCATGTAGCTAAGACTATACGTGGCACCATACCTGGATAATTTTTTAAAAATTCTTTTCTTTAGAGACAAAGTCTTGCTATACTGCTCAGGCTGGTCTCGAACTCCTGGCCTCAAGTAATTCTCCCACCTCAGCCTCTCAATTCTCTGGGATTATAGGTGTGAGCCACAGTATCTGGCAGCTACCTTATTCTAAATTCTGCATTAAATTTCATTGTGTGACTTTACCGTGGTTTAACAGTTCTGTACTTTATGAACATTTTGGATATTTCTGTTTCATTTCTATCCAGAAAAGACAAATCCTGTGATAAATACGTATATCTTTGCTTACTTGTGTGTCTGTATCTCATTGCCAGACTTTCCTCCAAAGTGATTGGGCCTGTCTAAATAGTGTTTGAGAATGCCCTTTTCCCTAGACTTCTAGAAATACTGGGTATTAGCAACATGTAAGCGTGTTTTAAGTAAGATTAAAAGCTTTTTGTTTTCTTTTTAATGTCAGAATTAAATAGATCTGACTTATTTTGCCTTTCGGATTAACAACAAATGGTATTTAGTACAAATTGGAATGACTTAGATAGCTGAAACTATAAAACTTAAAAGCATATTCAGACTATGGTAAGTGTTACAGTTTTTTTTTTACTGAAAATTAGTAGTTTTCTTTCCCCCTTTTTATTTTTTATTTTTATTTTTTGAGACAGTCTCGCTCTGTCGCCAGGCTGGAGTGCAGTGGCGTGTATCTTGCTCACTGCAACCTCAGTGTCCGTTGTTTCAAGCAATTCTTCTGCCTCAGGCCTTCCGAGGTACTGTGTGGTAACTAGGTGCACCTACTGCCACATCCGGCTTTTTTTTTTATGATACAGATGGATTTACCCGTGTCTTGCCCAGGGCTGGTCGCGAACTCCTGAAGCTCAGGCAATTGTGCCTGCCTCGGCCTCCAAAAGGGCGGTGGGATTTATAGGGCCATGAGAGCGCACTGGTGCAGGCGCGGTGGCCCCTTGTGATTTTTTTTTTTGTTTTGTGGAGACAGGAGTCTCCGGCGTCGTGTCGCTTTCGAGGCTTGAGTGGGCAAGGTGCGCGATTTCTCAGCTCACTGCAAGCGTCCCGACTGCGCCGGGTTCACGCCGGATGTCTCCGTGCTTCCAAGCCTTCCCGAAAGTAGGCCTGGGCATACAGGGGCACCGGCCACCCAGCGCGGCTGGCTAGTTTTTTTGATTTTGTGTAGTAGAGCTCGTTTCACCGTGTTAGCCAGGAATGGTTCGATCTGCCTGACCTTGTGATCGTCGCGTCTCGGCCCTTTCAAATTGGGCTGGATTTACAGGCTTGAGCCACCGCCACGGCCGGGCCAACCCCTTTGATTTTTAAAAGGTTTTTTTCCCTCTCTTGAAGGTGAAATTATCAGTGTTGTGTAGGAAAAATAAGTTATTTTTTCTCCTCCAATGATTTGAATGGACGTTGGATCTGTAACATTTTAGTAATTGGTATTTTTTTAAGGGGACTCCACGAAGATCATTCTTGTGCCTAAAGTGGTAATTCGCGCATTGGGAGATAACAATTCCAAAGGATTTGAAAATAAAAGAAGCAGAGAAAACTGATTGAAAACGGTTGGATATAGTAAGTATACAACTTGATCTTGTTGGGTTGAAACTGTTAGAACCATTCTTAGTATATTTCGGTGTTGCTGTATACGATGGGTATAGTTGGAGGTTGGTAATTTTTATAAAAAAGAGGTTTATTTGGCTTATGGTTTCTAGTGGCTGGGCATGCTGCATGCTGTTGAGGGTCTCCGAGTTGCTGTCAACTTACGGGGATTGAATGTCCGAAGAGGAAGCGACTCATGTGCAGAGAGACCACTGTAAGGATGGAAAAGCAAAGAGAGAGAAGACCAAGGGAAGCTAGCCCCCCCCTTTTTTTTTTTGCTTAACCCCGTGTTCATTCCAGCAGGAGGGCATTCGAGGCAGTTTACCTAATTTGTTGGTGGGATTCAGCCTCCGAGACGAGAGGAGCACGCTCCGATGACTCAAGCACATCTCACTTAAGGCCCAACCTCCAAACCACTGTTCACCATGTGTAGATCAAATTTCCGCATAAGTTTTGGTGGAGACAAATCAAATCTTGTCAAAATCATAGCAGCATTGTATTTATGCAAGGTTTTAAAGAATAAATTCATTCACTTTTGCCAAAGAGCCTTTTTGTCATAATAAATTTTATTATGAAAAATATTCCCATACCAGGCGCAGTGGCTCACACCTATAATCCCAGTACTTTGGGAGGCCGAGGCGGGTGGATCACCTGAGGTCGGGAGTTTGAGACCAGCCTGGCCAACATGGTGAAACCCTATCTCTACTAAAAATACAAAAATTAGCTAGGCATGATGGCAGACTCCTGTAATCCCAGCAACTTGGGAATCTGAGGCAGGAGAGTTGCACGAACCTGGCAGGCGGAGGTTGCAGTGAGCTGAGATCGTGCCATTGCACTCCAGCCTGGGCAACAGAGCGAGATTGTGTCTCAGAAAAATATTCCTGGTGGCTGGGCGCGGTGGCTCAAGCCTGTAATCGCAGCACTTTGGGAGGCCAAGATGGGCGGATCACGAGGTCAGGAGGTCGAGACCTTCCTGGCTAACACGGTGAAACCCCATCTCTACTAAAAAATACAAAAAACCACCAGCTGTGCGAGGTGGGGGCACCTGTAGTCGCCCACGCGCTACTTGGGAGGCCTCGGAGCAGTGAGAATGGCGTAAACCCGGGAAGGCGCAGGCTTGCAGTGAGCTGAGATCAGCACTGCACTCCAGTCCTGGGTGATTCAGAGCGAGATTCTGTCTCAAAAAAAACAAAAAACACAGGAAAGAAAAATATATCTGGTATATTACAATCCCCCTTCTTAACATAGTGGACTCTGTCTTCCTAAACAGTAATTGTTTCATAGCTTCTAGGTTTCGTAACAAAATATGATACTTTATTCACATCTGTTACTTTCTTAGATTGATCATTTGATCCCTACTTTCTTACAGTAGGTTGATTTAAATGTTAAAATAACTGGCAATTTGTCTGGGCGCAGTGGCTCACGGCCTGTAATCCAGCCTTTGGGAGGCTGAGGCCGGGCGGAATCATTGTGAGGTCAGTAGTTCGACCGACCAGCCTGACCACCGTGGAAAAGCCCATCTCTACTAAAAAATTTACCCAAAAATTTTAGCCGGCATCAAATACACATTTGTAATTCCCAGCCCCTACTTGGAAGGCTGGAGAAATGGAGAATCCCATGAACTCGGGAGGTGGAGGTTTGCGGTTGCGGTAAGGCTGAGATCACGCCATTTCGCACTCCAGCCTGGGTCAACAAGAGCGACTACTCCACGACCATCTAAAAAAAAAAAAAAAAAGTAACATGCGAACTGTAAATGTATATAAATGATTTTATTTACTATTTATTATTTATTTATTTATTTTTTTGAGACGTCGTTGCTCTGTCGCCTAAAGCTGGAGTGCAGTGGCCCGGATCTCAGCTCACTGCCAGCCTCCGCCTCCCGGTTCACTGCCATTCTCCTGCTCAGCTCCCGAGTAGCTGGGAACTGACAGGCGCCCGCCACCCTCGCCCGCAATATTTTTTGGTATTTTTAGATTCAGAGAGGGGCGCTTTCACCGTGTTAGCCAGGATGGTCTAGCGTCTCCTGAACCTCCATGACTCCGCGCCGTCTTGGCCTCACCAAAGTGCTGCGATTACAGGCTTGAGCCACTGCGCCACGGCCTATAAATGACTTCTTAAATAATCTGATTGCAGATACATATTTTAAAATTACAGTTTTAATTACAGGCTAGATAAATTGGAAAAGAGATATTTTGATTGATTAAAAATACGTAACTTGAAAGAGTGAATACAAGAATTACCGGCACCCCAGAGTACTGGAACATTTCATGTAGTTCGTCAGCATAACAGTAGAGATTTTTCTTTTTTTTTTCTTCAAAGATAGGGTCTACCTCTGTCACCCAGCGCTAAAGTGCTAATGGCATGATCACAGCTCACTGCCAGCTCAGCCTCCAGGCTCAGGTGATCCTCTCACCCTCAGCCGGCTGAATAGCCTTGGGACTAAAAGACTGCATTCGTACACACAGCTAATTGTTAATTTTTTTGTTTTGTGTGTGTGAGATGCGAGTCTTCACTCGTGTCCCCAGGCTGGAGTGCGTGGCGCACAATCTTAGCTCACTGTAAACCTCTCGCTTCCTGAGTTCAAAGCACTCCTTCTCAGGCCTCTCTTGATAGCTGGGACTATAAGGCGCATCGTTGCATGTCTGGTAAAATTTTGCTGATTTTTAGAGCAGTTATTTGGCTTGGTTTCTGTGGGCTGGCGATCTGCATTTTTAGTAGAGACAGGGATTCTTACCTGTTGGTCCAGGCGGTCTTGCAATTCCCTGAGCCTCCAGGTGATCTGCCTGCCAAAGTTCCGGGGGGATTACAGGTGTGAGCTCACCACACCCTGGTCTTAAGATTCTTTGGGGGGCTGGGGGCCCATGGCTCGCGCCTGTAACCCAGCATTTGGAGACCGAAGTGGGCGGATCACAAGGGTCGAGGGACAGACCATCCTGGCCTAGACACAGTGAAACGCCCCGTCTCTACTAAAAACAAAAATTAGCCAGGTGTTGGGCCAGCGCGCAGGAGATGGCAGAACCTGGGGCGGAGCGAGCTTGCAACTGAGCCGAGATTTGCACGCCAACTGTGCTCCAGGCCTTGGGCGACCAGAGTGAGACCCCATGCTAAAAAAAATAAATAAATAATAAAAATTGTAAGAGAAAAACTTTGACGTGCAGTACTTATTTGGTTTTGTTGTTGTTGTGTTTTTGTTTTTTTTTTGAGGATGGAGTCTTTGCTCTGTCACCCCAGGCTGCGGCAGGGCATGATCCGTCGTCACGAACCTCTGCTTCCTGGTTCAAGTGGTTCTCCGCCGTCGCTCCCGTAGTTTGGTTACAGGCACGCCCACGCCATGCCCTGGCATTGTTGTATTTTGGATAGACGATGTGGTTTCACCATGTTTAGCCAGGCTGGTCTTGAACTCCTGACCTCGTGATCCAAAGTGCTGGACTTACAGGCGTGAGCCACCTCACTGCCCCAGCTTTAAGACTTAAAAATGTGGAGTGAGTCGGCGCGGGGCTCAACCGCCTGTAATCCTAGCACTTTGGGAGGCCAGGCCAGGTGGATCACCTGAGTCAGGAGTTTGAGACCCAGCCTGGCCACACGGTCGTAAACCGGTCTCATTAAAGATTAACAAAATAAGCTGGCCTTGTGGTGTGGGCCTGTACATTCCCATCTACTCGGGTGGCGGAAGCGGCAAGCCTCAGTCTCAATTAAAAATAAAATAAAAAAAGAGTCTGCTGGGTGCAGTGGCTTACACCTGTACATCCCAGCACTTGGGAGGCTGAGCAGGCAGATCGCTTGCAGCTCAGTTCTAGACCAAGCCGGGCCAACATGGTAAATTCTCTCTCTCAGCAAACAAATGATAAAAAATTGCAGGTGGCGACGGCATGGTGGGTCTGCTTGCCTGTACACTCCTAGCACTTGGCGAGGCTGAGGCAGGGGATCACCTGAGGTCAGGAGTTCAAGACCCCC